TCATGTCGGCCCTGGACCCCTGGCTTCCCGAGCCTCTGCCCCCCTCGGGCACCAAGGAGTCCCTGGCCCCGCTCCACCCTGCCTGGGCCTCTCTCTCCCCTCACTCTCGTTACCTGCCTAGGAAGACCGGTGACCCCCCTTTTCACAACCACTTGTATCCTGGAAACTGCTAAGTCCATCCGTCCATCCGTCTGTCCACCCGCTCAGACCTCCTGCAGTGACCCCAGGACACTCCTCTCCAGTGATCTGACATTCGTACCCTGCGTCCAACCTGAACCCTGTCATCCTTCACCCCTGCCGTCCCCTGTGCCACCCAGACCTGACCCCTGTCATCCTTCACCCCTGCCGTCCCCCCTGTGCCACCCAGACCTGACCCCTGTCATCCTTCACCCCTGCCCCCCCGTGCCACCCCTCACCCATCCGTCTCCTCGTCCAGAGTCCACCACCCTGGCCCGTGCCCACACCCTCTCTCCGCCTGCCCCTCTGTGAGGCCCCAGCGGAGCTGCAGGCCCCTTGTCCCAGCCTCAGACCCCCTCCGGGCCGTGGTGAGGAGTCTGCCCTTCGGTGAGAACCACCTACACAGAAACTCTCTGCTGACCCGTCTCTCACGCCACCTCTTCCAGGAAGCCTGCCGGGTGGAGCTGCTGCTGAGGGTGCGCTCACGGGGCAGCCCTGCACTGTCCCAGCTCCCCGAGCCCCTGCACACCCCACGCGCAGCACAGGGGTGCTTCCGGTGAACCTCGGCGGCATGAAGGGTGCGTGTCTGGGCCGTGTGAGTCGGGGAGACGAGGTGAGCACCCTCCCCAGGGCTAAGTTACGCCACCTGTTCGAACGGATTGGACGACGCAGCTCTTCCCTAGGCAGACGCAGTGACATTAAAACGGCTGACCTCGCCCTGCGCAGGACCAGCCAGCGACACCGTGTCCTGGCGTCCAGACGGGAAGCAGCGTCCCGTACCCACACGCAGCGTCCGGCCCGCCTCAGGGGCAGAGAGCAGCCTGGAGGCCTCTGAGCGCCGTCCCCGCGCACACACGGGCCGTCCCCGCGCACACACGGGCCGTCCCGGCGCACACACGGGCCGTCCCCGCGCACACACGGGCCGTCCCCGCGCACACACGGGCCGTCCCGGCTCACACACGGACCGTCCCGGCTCACACACGGGCCGTCCCCGCGCACACACGGGCCGTCCCCGCGCACACACGGGCCGTCCCCGCACACACGGGCCGTCCCGGCTCACACACGGACCGTCCCGGCTCACACACGGGCCGTCCCCGCGCACACACGGGCCGTCCCCGCGCACACACGGGCCGTCCCCGCGCACACACGGGCCGTCCCAGCTCACACACGGGCCGTCCCCGCGCACACACGGGCCGTCCCGGCTCACACACGGGCCGTCCCGGCTCACACACGGGCCGTCCCGGCTCACACACGGGCCGTCCCCGCGCACACACGGGCCGTCCCGGCTCACACACGGGCCGTCCCGGCTCACACACGGGCCGTCCCGGCTCACACACGGGCCGTCCCCGCGCACACACGGGCCGTCCCCGCGCACACACGGGCCGTCCCCGCACACACGGGCCGTCCCCGCGCACACACGGGCCGTCCCGGCGCACACACGGGCCGTCCCGGCGCACACACGGGGGGCCCACACGACAAAGGAAGCCCTTCCGGGCTGCTCACTGTCTCAGGAAAGTGACCATTTCCCAAAAGTCTGAACTGCCTGAAAGTAAGGCCCGCTCTAGAGATGTCATATACCAAGTTTCTTGTTAAAAAAAAAACATGTTAAAAGCACTTATATAAAAGCCACCCTCTGGGAGCCCGGCCACTCAGCTCACGACCAGCCCGTTGCCAGGAGTCCCGGCTGGACACTCGGGGCACAGCCCCCGCAGGGCTCACGCAGAGAAGCCGGACGACCCAGCGGCAGGCCCGCCCGCGGCCTGCCGGCTGCTGACAGTGACAACTGATCACAGAGGGGGACCGGACACAAAAGGAGCCACTCTGCTCCCTTCTAGGGTTTCAGGCGGGCTGGGCTCACCCGCTGCAGACACAGCGGCCGTCCCCACCGCGGTGAGCGCCCGGCCCGTCTCCCATGAATCCACGCTCGCGGGGACAGCCCGACGAGACGCCAGCAAGTAGGAGTGCAGGACTCAGCAACGGCTCTTTTGTTTTAGTAGCGATTTCTTTAAAGGCTCAGCCATTAATGGGGTGAGGGGTCAGCTATTTGGAAAATGTGCTCGTTAAACAGCAACAACGCAGATGGTGTGGCGTAAGCGAGAGGGTTTGTGTTGCAGAACCAATCCCAGGCTCCTTCCCACCCTCCTGGTACACTTCGGGAAGCCAGTGGGAGCCAGGGACAGGGTCCCTGTCACTGACAAATAGGCGCACACAGAACGTGGAGAGGAGTTTGAGAATCAACCCAGAGAGGTCCCCCTCCCTTTGTCACCAATATTTAAATGCCACCTGATGGCTACGGAACAGAAACCAGGGAGCGTATTAAGTGATTTAAAATCAACGTGTTTACACAAAAAATCGACTTTACAAAAAATATATATATTTTTGTTATAAATATCGTTACTCTCACTGGTTTAGTTATTCTAATATGTGCATCAATAAAGTTCAGGCTTCAGAGTTTCGAGCCTATGGTCCTAGTGCCCAGAAAAAGCCACAAGTGCCGGAGGGTTTGCGCCCCAGGGAGTTTCCTAACCACAGGCGCCGGCTTCCCGGCACCGAGCCCCCACCGGAGGTCCACGCCTGTGGCTGGCCTGCAGCTCCAACACCAGGTGTTCCCCTGACTCCTCCAGAACACCTGCTCAGCAGACACGGGTCCTAGGGCCAACCTTCACAGGAGACTGTTTCCAAAGCAGAAAACAGCCTGCAGCCTCCCTCTCCGGACAAAAACGGGCTGATTTACAACTGGATTCAGTCACACTAAGTCTGGACTCCACTGGGGTGCAGGACTTCTCTTATGGAAGTCTCGGGGAACAGAGTGATGCCCGGACACTGGCAAGTGCCCAGGAAGCAGCTCTTCCCACCCTCCCTCCCCAGCAGGGCTCAGCCGGTGCAGGGGGTGCAGCAGTGCAGGGGGTGGAGCGGTGCAGGGGGTGTAGCCGGTGCGGGGGGTGCAGCCGGTGCGGTGGTGCAGGCGTTTCCTGCCTGCGAGAAGTGAGGGGAGCCTGCAGCTGCCTGGCACTGTCGGTCCCTAACCTTGGAAAGCTCACTGCACTGGGCGGTGCCCTGTATTTTCTACCTGGCCTGGGTGGCACCCCTCAAACACCGGCTGCCTCCATTACTCACACTGCGCACAATGGAGGTGACCCTCCAGTCACCCTGGGAGGCGCCCTGTGCCTCTGAGAGACCGGCCCACGGGGCCTGCAGGTGAGGACCCAGCCGTGCAGGTGCGGAGACAGAACCCGCAGCCCTTCCTGGGCTGCCCTGCGGCAGCTGGGCCACCGCACTAACTTCACAGAGGGGTCCCCCTACCCCCCCGCCCACCTGCACCTGCGCCCCAGGCCTGGCCTTCCGGCCCCTCACCCAGGCCAGCCTCCCCCGCCTCCCCAGGGTGAGGTCCCCGCCTCCCTGGTCACCGGGGTGCAGGCCAGGTGGGGGTGGAGCTGCATGTCGCCTCGGAGACCGCGCCCGGGTGGGTGGGGGCTGGGCCGGAAAAGTTCCCGGACCCCTACAGACCCGTCCCCCTCGGCTGCTGGGCCCTCGGCCGCGCTGGCTCACCTCGGCCTGGCTTCGGCACAGGGATCGCAGAGCAGGTGCAGCCCCCTGGGCCGGCTGGGCGGGCACGTCCCGCGGGAAGCGCGTCCCTTTGGCGCGGGGCGAACTCGGGCTCACTGTCGACGGCGGGGCCCCTCCGCCCGGCCGCGCGCCCCGCAGGCCCCAGCGCCCCTGCTCCAGCCGGACCCAGGGCTCCACGCCCCCGCGGCTGCGCCGTCCGCCGGGGACTCGGCTGGAGCCTGGGCCCCAAGTGCACAGCAGCGCGAGCACCGGGCGCCCCCTGCAGCCCCTGCACCTCTGCCTGCGCCCCCTGCACTCCCGGCCCCTGGGCTCCCGCCCGCCCTCTGCGCCCCCTAGAGCCCCTGCACCTCAGCCTGCACCCCCTATGACCCCTGCGACCCGGTCCCTAGGCTCCCGCCCGCCCTCTGCGCCCCCTAGAGCCCCTGCACCTCAGCCTGCACCCCCTATGACCCCTGCGACCCGGTCCCTAGGCTCCCGCCCGCCCTCTGCGCCCCCTAGAGCCCCTGCACCTCAGCCTGCACCCCCTATGACCCCTGCACCCCGGCCCCTATGCTCCCTCCCGCCCCCTGCGCCCCCTAGAGCCCCTGCACCTCAGCCTGCACCCCCTATGACCCCTGCACCCCGGCCCCTATGCTCCCTCCCGCCCCCTGAGCCCCCTACAGCCCCTGCACCTCAGCCTGCACCCCCTATGACCCCTGCGACCCGGTCCCCTCGCTCCTGCCGGCCCCCTGCGCCCCCTACAGCCCCTGCACCTCAGCCCGCACCTCTGTCTGAGCCCCCTGCACTCCCAGCCCCTAGGCTCCCGCCCGCCCTCTGCGCCCCCTACGACCCCTGTGACCCGGTCCCCTCGCTCCTGCTGGCCCCCTGCGCCCCCTTGAGCCCCTGCACTTCAGCCTGCGCCCCCTATGACCCCTGCGACCCGGTCCCTTCGCTCCTGCCGGCCCCCTGCGCCCCCTACAGCCCCTGCACCTCAGCCCGCGCCCCTATGGCCCCTGCGTCCCGGCCCCTTCGCCTCCGCCCGCCCCCTACGCTCCGGCCCCTGCGCGCCCTGCACCCCCTCCACCTCCTGCACCCCCTGTAGCCCCTGTACCCCCGGCCCCTGCGTCCCGAACACCACGCAGCGCAAAGTGCGCGGGGCGCCCCCGCCGGAAAGTTGAACTGGGGCCCGGGGCGGGGGAGGGGCGCGGGGCGGGGGCGCGCGGGAGGCGAGTTCGCCCGAGTTCGCGCGGAGACGGCGGCGCGCGGCGCGGACCCACCTGCGTGCGCGGCCGACTCTCCGCGGGCGCCGCCGTCTGCCCCCCGCGCCGGCCGGCAGGGCGCTCGGGCAACTCGGAGGATCCCGCTGCGCACGCGCCGCCCTCGCCGCAGCCCGGCGCTTCCCCAGCTCAGCTCGGGACAGGTGGCGGCTGCGCTGCAGGACGGAGAGTCCGGTCGTCCGCCTGGAGACACCCCGGGAGGCGCGAACCTAGGAGAGTCCGGTCCCCCCGCCTGGAGACACCCCGGGAGGCGCGAACCTGGGAGAGTCCGGTCGTCCGCCTGGAGACACCCCGGGAGGCGCGAACCTGGGAGAGTCCGGTCGTCCGCCTGGAGACACCCCGGGAGGCGCGAACCTGGGAGAGTCCGGTCCCCCCGCCTGGAGACACCCCGGGAGGCGCGAACCTGCCCTGGTCTCGCACTGATGCTGCGGGTCAGTGAGCGCGGCCGAAGGAAGGTCACCGTGGAGACGCGTCCCCGCGAGAACGCGCCCCCCTGTGCAGGCTGCAAACGTGCAGGGTCGTGGAAACGCGGGACTACTCAGCCGGCCGTGTACTCGACCCAAGGAGGGCACAGTCCTCCACGTCTCCTGCTTACTTGCCTTCAAAGAGCCTGAAAGTAATAAACATTCAGGCGCACACACCAGCCCCACGTGGCTGAGCATCAGCATTGACTTGAAAAGCTCGGGTCCGGCCAGCATTCCATTGATTGCAAGCTACTGCTTTGAGGATGCCAATGTAATGTCTTGGTCATAAAAACAAAATTAGAAATTAAGCAACAACCTTGACTCATGAAAAGCTAAAACTTGTGTCACATTCCTTTGCAAAATACAATAACTTTACTTATACTTTTAATAATTTCGATTACATGATGGTGGACATCGTTGGTGTGAACGAAAAAGGTGGGGGAGGGGGTTCTGCCCACCTGTGTGGCTCAGTGGTTGAGCAGCGACCTTGCACCAAGAGGTCCTGGTTGGATTCCAGGTCAGGGCACATGCCCCGGTTGTGGGTCCGATCCCCAGTGGGGGGCGTGCAGGAGGTGGCCAATCTCATCGATGATTCTATCTCTCTCTCCCTCTCCTTTCCTCTCTCTCTAAAATCAATAAAGAAAAATATAAAAAAGAAGGGTTCTGTGGAAAGTAACCTCACAGGGTGATGTGCTCATAAATTCCTGAGGGGCAGGTCATGGTGGGCAGTCCAGCCCAGCCCTGTGACTTCTTTAGTGAAAGGTTTAACCTTTAAAATGCAGAAGCGAGGCCCCTGCAGGGGGGTCAGCCCTTAAGGGAGCAGCTCATCTCTGAGCCATCCTGAGATCCAGCCCAATTCGCTGTTTCCACCTTGTAGGTGACCTTCCCACCTCCGTCCTGGATTCCAGATGCATTAAATAAACCACAAAATCATTCTTCCCCGGAGCCTCTGAGATTGCTCCGGGTTTATGTTGTCCGTTTGCCTTAAACTCTCACAAAAATGCTCCACAGGTCTGGATGTTTCTTGCGTGGACATCAGTTTCTTCTCTGCCTTATTCTAAGGCAATATTGTTTCACGATTAGAAAATATCAGCCCTGGCCGGTTTGGCTCAGTGGTTAGAGCGTCCGCCCACGAACCAAAGAGTCACGGATTTGATTCTGGTCAGGGGCATGTACCTCGGTTGCAGTTCAGTCCCTGGCCCTGGTCAAGGTCATGAGGGAGGCAGCCAGTCGATGTGTCTCTCTCACATCGATGTTTCTCTCTCTCTCCCTCCCTCCCACTCTATCAGAACATAAATGGAAAAGTGTCCTTGAGTGAGGATTTAAAAAAAAAGAAAATGCCATCAATGAAACTTCACTCCTGAATCTAGTTAGTACCCAATAAGTTTAATATTTTAAAATAATTTCCAAAACTCAATAATAAACGCGTTCAAAGTTCGCTGCAGAAAACGCGAAAGTACCCAGCCCGTGATGCAGCCTCGCCTTTGGGCACTGGGTCCTCCCATGCGCTGGATTCCGGGGCGCCGGTGTGGGGTCTCCACCAGCAAATCGGTCGGGGCCAGGGAGGTGCAGACAGGACGAGCAATCGGAGCAACGGCTGTGTCCACGCAGCCCCCTTCCCACGCCCAGCCTGTCTGAGTGCCGCCCGAATGCCTCCTGGGGTCCAAGAACGCATCGCGGACGCCAGCTACAGCTCGGAAACGCATCTGACCTCAACGCTGCGGGACGTAAACAAGGCCAACTCGTGGCGAAGGGCCAGTGGTGAGGTCAGGGTCCCCCGTTCCTTCATGCTTTCATAGCCGCTAATCTTCACCCACACCCTCTGCAGCAGCGCTGCAAATCCAGGTCGCCGCGCTCGGGGCTGCGCCACACCCCACAGAGGTGAAGCAAACTGGCTCAGAACCATCTCCTTGGCCAGTGGGACAGATGCAGGTGAAGGGACGGGGGACCAACGGCACAGTTCACACGCTCTTCAGGGTCCAGCCCGACTGACACACCCCTTGTAGCATCTTCACCCCAGCGAACCGGTCGATGCTGCGGCCGAGCGAGGTGGGGGGATTATATTTCGACGATGCGGTGAGGTGGAGCTACGGCACACACTGTGCCCATCCTGGAGTGCCCACCCCGCGTGTGCCCGTGGCTCCTCCTGACAGTGTGGCCTGTGCCCATCGACGTCAGCATCAGGCCCCTGTTAGGACGGGAGTCACTGTGCACCCTCACTCGGTACCTTCATCCTTGTATCTGACCCGTGTCTGTCCTCCCGACACGCACGGACATGTGCACGCACCTCTGTTGAGAGGATTCTGACGGTGTAAGCTGCTGTCCTTAGGGGACACACCCGGAAATGTGCTGACAGAGCGGAATCCATAAAGCAGTAGTAATAAGGATTACCGACGTGGAGTTCCGCGTGTGCCCCGCGCCCACTGCAATGAACGCCTGGAGTCTGCGTCCTCCGGTTGTTCTTGTCGGCAAACACGGGCCGGCAGGCATTTCTATTCTCCCGTCCCCCTCGAGAGGGAACGTGGTGAAGCCCCCAGGTGCCGTCTCGGAGGGATCGAGTGCGCACAGTGAGAGGGGTCCGCGATCCTGGTCTCTGTGAGCACCTGCGGGAGCCCTGGGGGGCTGGCGACAGCACCCACACGTCGTGTGAAGACATAGCGGGCCAGGACCAGTGCGGCTCCTCAGCTCAGACAAGAGACCTTAGAGGCAGGTCTGCGGCTGAGCGGAGATCCAGGTTTGCTGGCCAGTGACCTGGCGCAACACACGGCATCGGGTCTGCAAACGAAACACAGAAATGTCGACACCACAAAAGTCGCAGTTGCAGGAAGACACCTGGAATGCGTACGGTCGCTTCACCGGAAGGGTGTCTGCCAAGACGTCACGGCGCCAGGTCTTCCATCTCGGAGCCGCGTTCGCGGAGCAGCGGAGCCAGGTGCACCGGCCCAGGGCACGTTGACCATCCGCGGGAAGTGGGCGCCGTTCTCGCCCTGCAGTCCAGGGCCCCCACTGTCCTCAGCAGACATCCCCTGACCAGGGTGAGGCTGTGGCGCAGACGGCCCCACCCAGGGGCTCACCAGAAGGGGGGACAAGCAGAGGCTGTGCCCTCATGACCAGGACCACATCCTCCGCTGCCATCTGAACGTTTACTCTGCACGGTCCTCGGATGCTCGCGACCCCGTGGTCACCGATGGGCGACGCCCTGTGCGGTCAGTTCTTCACGTTGAACGTTACAGAGCATCTGAGCACCGCGTGTGTCTGCCGGAGGCCTGGGCCCGCTCGGCTGTGAAGTCTCCCTTCCTGGGAAAGCACGCGTGAGCCTGTGGTTGGCTGCGCCCTCTGTCCTGTCCTCCCCCACGGCCTCCACGGGAGACTGCGCTGTCCGCCGGCTCCAGCTTCCGCTGAACTGCAGGTTCCGCGTTGACACGGTCACGGGCACACGGGGAACGATGAGCAAACACAGCAGGCGAGATGTGCGTCCTGACCCCCGAGCTGCATGCCTGTGCACCCCAGCCCGGGACTGCAGACCCCCCAGCGGAAAACCTCCGCACTGGAGCACAGTGGGCACTTTTTACACAAGAGAAATCAAGGTACCATCTGGCCTTTAATGCAGATGGAAACCAGAAAGGCAAACATCTGTCGCGCTCGTCTCTGCTCTTTGCCGAGCAGCCCCCTCAATTTCAAACTCACTTCTTACAGCAACTTCAGGATGTTTGGCATGTTTCCATTTCAGGGCAGATGACTCTTCTCAGGTGTAGCAACCGAAGCTCACACGGTGATTAAGTGAAGGGGTCGGGGACCAAACTCAGGCAGTCCACCTGTCCCAGCTGTGGTCCACCAGGCAGTACCCCTCACTGAGCTTCTCTCTCACACACACACGTGCACACACACACACACACACACCGGCCTTGTCACTCTGGGGCTCAGAAGCCACTGTCTCTGTCCCAGGGAAGCAGGTTAGCTCTGCCTCCAGTGGGGAGGGGGAGGGGCTGTGCTCCCTCCTGGCTGCTGCCTGGGGCTCCGAGCTCGGCGGGTCAGGACACCTGCACTGCGTGGGTCCTCCCTCCAGGGCAGGAGGGTCCCGTCAGTGATCTGAGTCCACAGCGCCTCCACGGTAGCCCGCCTCTGCTCCCCCACTCTCAGAGGTGTGTAAGCAGCTGAGAAACCTGGCCTTCTGCTTCGTTTACCTGAACAACACTGGACTTAGGTGACGTGTGGCTACTGGCGCTCTGAGTCCTGCGTGGACCTTGACCCCGACGAGGTCCTACAAACAGCTGCTGCGAAGGGCCAGGCAGGAGGAGACAGTCCCCCAGCTTGTACCGCGCCGGCCGACATGGAATTTCACCCACTTGGCAACATTCCCTAAATTACAGGAATAAATTATCAAAAGTAAACTAAGTTTAAAGCTTAGAAACGGTCAGAGTTAAACCTGAGATCGATCATGCAATCACACGGACTTCAGCCATTCTTTCACGTCTACGTAACCATGAAACCCAGCACAGGCTCCGTGCAGTGAGCTATCGATGCGGAATACAGATGGTTACCCAGCCGGCAGGATCGATCTATCGTCT